AGAAAGTGAAATTTGAATATCAGACACTTAGGTGCAAGATTATGCCAAAATTTCATGTTTTTCGTCCCGTTTTTGCTCATATCTCGGAGGCAAAATGAGCGAGAACGCTCATTTGTACATCATTCTAGACATAAATAAATGGCCTTTTTACAAAATGAACCATCGATAAAGAAATGCTGGCAGTTTTCTCAAAAAATGCTTGAATTCAAGAAGTTTTAGGTTTGCGTGGTTTTTTTTGAGTTGCAAAATCCACTTGAACATGACGCTGCTTTTTTCGAAGTTTCTCAAGAACTATTTGAGCCACAGAATTCGTTTTGGCATCGTTGGATAGAGAATTGAAAAGTCGATTCAGTCGTAACAACTTGAGTGAGGAAATTCGAGTAGTTTTGACCCAGAAAGTGAAATTTGAATATCAGACACTTAGGTGCAAGATTATGCCAAAATTTCATGTTTTTCGTGACCCCCATGACCCACCCCCTTGATCCGCCCTTGTACATAGACACTATACAATGTATTTGAATAACCAATTTCTAATTTAATACGCCAAAAGACTCATTTTACCGAATAGTGCAATTAGAGCATTCATTCCACAAAATGAGGTTTTTAATGTTTTATGTTTTAGAGTGGCTTGCGTTTAAAGTAAATTGGAAGATTTTGTCCTACAAATGTTCGCATTGTGCGGCCTCGGGATTCAGCTGGGAAAAATAAAGGGAAGAGAGTTCCAAATTGGTTCAGCCAGTGTTATTCTAATCAAATCGGTTCATCCGGAAATAAGAAACTTAATGAGCCCAACCGACTACAAAGTTCGAGAAATTAGTACCTAATTCAATCTTCTCATTAAAGGTTTCTTTCCCTTTGATAAATTCCATTCTCCAAAAACAATCTCGTAGAAAACACCGGCTTATTGCCTCAATGATATACAGTCGCCTCACAATGAAAATTTATGCAAGTTGTGGCAAGGAGCTTTAAAAATTGGAAAAGTCTTATTTCCAGCCCTCTAAATGGCTTCTCTGGAGAGTAGACGATTAACTGTTGCTGGAAATTATTCAAAATTATTGTCTGTCTATGCCGGGCAAGATATGTCCAAAAAACCTTCAAACAGTAGTTTAAATTCGTTTTTTCAAACCTGGTGAAATATCTAAAAAGTGAAGTCAATAAATCCATGGAAGAAGAATTTTCAGTTAGTTTTATCGTCAAATTCGATGCAAAATCGCCGCGAGATCCTGCTTGAAAAGAAAAAATCCTCCACTTAAAAATGTTTCGTCTTGTTCCAGATGTTGTTGTGGACGCACTTATATGCAGCACAAATTTCTGGTCGATACCAACTCGATGCCAGCAGGGGAAATTTGGTACCCGAGCAGATGTACCGTGGCCAATCCAACAGATGCTTATGGTACTTTGGAGTTCCAAGGTGGTCCTCACCCATCCAAAGCCCAAGTAAGCGACATCCGAGGCGAAAAGTTGGGCATTAAATTTTAACACTTGCCAATAAAACGTGGCATTCAACCAAATGGTTCAATATAATGCTATTATGAAAATACCCCTCTCGAGTTAACCGTTTCTTAATGAGCCCATTAAGCAACATCCCATTGAATTGGACAGAAAGGACTACAAATTCTATAGGCGACAGGAATTTCACAATTTAATTGAGCGAGGAGAGAAATGGTGTTCAAATAACCCATCATTACGTTGTGTTTTTATGGATAAACGCGATATTCAAAGAGTTTGTTAATCGAGCAAAAGAAGCCGTTTAAATTGAATTTATTCACTGCTAAAATTTTTGAAGGGTTTTATAAAAGTTGAGCACTGAATAATTTAGCTGGCAACATTTTCACTGCAGAATGGACCTTTTGTTCTCACATCAACATGCAGATTGCAAATCGAGTTGCGCCAGACAATCTTTTATTTACCATAACTCGTAATCGAAAAGGATTTACACAGATTGTCGTGAAAACCCAATTGAAAGCCCTCAAGAGAAACGTTTAGTTGCTTTCACCCTAAATGTGTTCTTCCTTCTGCGGATTACTGGAAAATAAAGCGGAACAATAGATGCGTTTAAGCCGCAGGTGATACCGCAGGGTATTTTCGGAAATATCCAAAAATATGGTAATGTTATGACAAACTCACGGCTGAAGATGGGATCGGATCGAGTGGAAAATCAAGGGTGGGAGACGGGCATTTGCTGCTTAGGAACAAAGAGATAAAAAATCTTTATGTCGATCGACTCGTTCACGTATTTTGCCCGCTCGATGGTTTTAGGTACAAGCAGCATAATGTATTTAAAGTATTCTTCTAGGTTAGGCAAATTTGTCCGTAAATTCCGTGGATTTTGCATGGATAAGAACAACCATTTATTAAGCGGAACCTGAACTCTACATATGTAAAAACGAACAGAAAAGTTTTATTTTGCGTACTAATGCTTAGGCAATTATTTTACAGTTGCCAAATGTGCAGGTTTAAGAACCTTTCCCTTTTTTTACAAACTTCTTTTTGGGTATTTCGCCTCAAAAATTTTTGTCTTTAAAAAAGACAGAATTCTCACGTCTTTTATTACAGATTGATAAATAGTGCTCCTATTTCGCAATAAGAACGAATTATTTATCAAAAAGTAATCAAGAACTATCACCTAG